TCATAATCACAAGACTGGTTCGCCATTACTAACCATAATCATAATTGCAGCCAGTATTAGGTAACGTCTAATATTTATTAACTAAGTAGTTATTTAGTGCTCAAGTGCCAGGCCCTGTTTTAAGTGTCGTTTAACATATATTAACTTACCTGATGCTCGTAACAACCCTCAACGTAGGCACAACTATTACCTCCAATTTACGGATAAGAAAACCAAGGCACGGAACATCTAAATGGTTAGCCACGCTGCCACGGAGGCAGTCTGAGCCCAGAGCCACAAACCTGCAGGGTCTAATATCTGTCCAGATTCTGGTTCAAAGTGACCCTAGAGGGACAAAGTCCTATCAGCTTTGGACTGAAAACCCCCTTGGACTTGATCAAAGCTTCCAGTCTTGGCAGGAGTCCCTCCCGGGTGGCACTTATAGCCCACGCGGCCTGTAGAGAAAAAGACGGCTCTCCGATGACGGGGTGTTTTAGAAACTCTGAAAGGCAGCAGCTTTGTGAAATGTTTGCTGGGCAGGCTAGACTTCCAGCCTCCAGCCACTCTCCAGCATTTGAGAGCTGATGTAATTTCCTTCTTGTGGGAGGCCCGGGTGGGGGACAGAGTGCAGCCCTCGGAACAGGCTTCTGTGACCTGAACTTGGCCTCAAGTGGCGTGCACTTGGGAGCCTGGGTGAGAGCTTGAGAAGGAAGCCCTTCCCCCAGCTGGTTTCAAGAAGGGCTCTTGGGTTGGGTGCAACTGGTGTCTCTTTATTAAACCTGTTTACTTAGTGATGGAAACCGTTCGACGCGGAGTGGCTGGTCCCTCGCCCAGGGCCTGTTGAATCAGATGTCTTTCAATAAGGAAATAAGCAAGGAATGTTTCCAATTTTTTTTTTTGAATTTCCCTTTGGTGTTTGCTGAGATGATTTGCGTTGGATTTTAGGCAAGAGGAGCGGAAACTAGAAATCAGAAACCAAGAATCAGAATAAAACAGCAAGTAGTTTGTAGGTGTTCCCTTTTGCTAGTTTCGGCGGAGAGGACCAGGGGAGAGTCCTCGCGGCAGCTCGCTCAGCGGTGAAAGGATGCTTTGCGGTTGTGGGGGGGGGGGGTTGTGCGGGGGCCCTGCATGACTGCACACCCTCTACTCTCAGGAACCACCCCTTCCCCCCTTCTATTTCAAAGCCTTTCTTGCTTTGCCTACCTTTTATAGACGATCTGTGTATGTATTTAACATCCTCCCAACAGCCTCCGAGATTGTTTATTGCTAGAAATTGCTTTGGATGATTAGGCTCCAGTGTGGGAAGGTGGGAGGGAGCAGGCCAGGGTTCGTCACAGCCAATGCAGGTAAACGTTTGTGCACCCGTCTCAGTAAATTAGTGGAATGTGTCGACTTAAAGGGAGATCGTACAAGACTGCAGACTGTCTTAGGCTACTTCAGACCTTTGGCCACTAGCAGGCTGACCCGGATTGCCGGAAAGGAGCAAGTGCCTTTGAGTCCTCACTCTGAGGCTGCCGGTCAGGGATAGTTAGGGACGCTGGGAACTGCGGCCCTTTCCTAGGTCTCCCAGAGAGAAGGGACAGTGGCCCAGAGTTAGAGAGCCTGTGTTCCCGTCCTCACTCCCAGTCTCCTATGTGTCTGCAAAGCGAGCCTCAGGAGGTCGACATTGGCCTTCACAGCTCTTGGGACCAGTTGACCCCCCACCGCACCCCCTAGGACTTAGGTAGAATAGATACAGTGGATGACATAACATGGGTGGGAGAGAGCCCGAATCATCTTCTGAGTACAGTCTTGACCCATCAGTTTGGACAAAGGCAGGAGAATTTGCAATTCAGACAAGACATCTTTGTGAGGGTCTTTGTCCCTTAATCAAAGGGTCTTTGAGGGTCTTTGTCCCTTAATCAAAGACCTGGGAGATCTACTTGCTGGGTATGGAGAAAGTAACCTCAGCTCCACCATCCAAGTATTAGCACAGCTTGCTTTCGAAGCCCAGTATCCACGGAGGGTGTCTGATGACCACATGGGGTCACTACTCCCCTGGGCACCTAAAGAGCCACACGCACCCGGACCGCAGTGTCTTGCCTCTCAGAATTGTTTTCGCTGACTGGGATTCTTGCCGTTAAGGCTTTGGCCAACATTGAAAGACAAGGGTACAAGACGGTCCCGTGGAGTCATTATTTCCTAGATGGAAACCCTGCCATCGATTGAGAGGTGTCTGGGACGGCTTCCTTTCGGATTTCGGTTCTAGGAAGAGCCGTGCTTCTTCCAAGTAACTGGTGTGTTTTTAACTTTTGGCTTGCGTGCATCACGTCCTCGATTATTCCTTCTTTTCACCAGCTGCCTGGAAGCTTGGAGCGCTGCCTCTCTCCAGCTACTCAGAGGCAGGACATAAATTCTGTGGTATCAGCATTGCCTGTAGTTTTTTTTGCCTTTTGTCTGATTTTCCCGTCCTCCTGATCGTGTTCTTTTCTCTTTTCGTGACCTGCCTATACTCCTACTGTCTGTGTTGGCCACCTCACGTATACTTTGAAACCAAAGAAGGATATCCCAGCTGGGAGAGGCTGGTGCAGACTGAAAGCGCATGTCTAAGAGGCGGCCGCGCGGGGGGTTCTCAGGCTTTTCCCAGGAACCCCCAGGTCCCAGCACTACAAGGAGTATCTGCAAGATGATTAAGAATTCATGGAAGGAAGCCTTGCTGTCTCGGGTGACTTCCTTATCAGTACTGGAGCGCTTACATGCCAGGCTCTGAGCTAGGTGACGGGGGTTGAGATGTGGTCCCTGCGCACATAGCGCCAACAGCTGGGTTCTGATCCCGTTCCAGATTCTGAGCACATTCAGCTTTTGATCCAACTTGGTCAGAGCCCTCTCTGGCCCAGATGACAGACAGTAAACTTCCCTTGAGGAGAGCAGAGCACCCAAGGAGCGTAAATGTGTAAGCCAGTCTGTGCAGGGGGCTCTGGCGTGTGTTTTCCAGGGACGGGGGCAGGCAGGGACCTGTATCCTCTCGACGCGGCCCAGAGAAGGGCCCAGTTACTTTTACATCTCAAAGGTCAGAGGAGAAGAATCATAGAGGAACCCTGTTGACATTTAAACCCCAGGACACGATTTGGTTTCTGTAATATTAAGACAGACGTTTCCCGACCTGTACCCAGTGCCCTGAGAAGCGTGGGAGGCCAGTTTGTAATGGCTGCTTTGAAATGCTGGGGTTGGCGGGGTGAGAGGGGATCCTCCACATGGAAGCAACCTGCTTGCAGCCCAAGGGACTCCTCATACTTGACACAGACTGTCACCCTTTGGAGGTGGCATGAGTCTCGTATGCAGCGCCTTCTCAACCAGTCTCCGCTGCTGAGCTCAGTAATGGAACTGGGGGGCCCTAGACCTACTACGTCCTTATTAAGCAGCCCAAGCCAGGGGCGCCTGGGTGGCTCAGTTGGTTAATAAGCCTCTGACTTCAGTCTAGGTCATGATCTCACCGTTCCTGAGTTCAAACCCTACCTCAGGCTCTGTGCTGATGGCTCAGAGCCTGGAGCCTGCTTCAGATTCTGTCTCCCTCTCTCTCTGCTCCTCCCTCGCTCACACACACACACACACACTCTCTCTCTCTCTCTCTAAACATTAAAAAAAATTTTTTTTAAGAAGGTCAAGCCAATTTCTTAAGAAATATAATATATATTTTCTTTCCAATACCTCTGCTCTATTCATGTAGAGCTTATGTCTTCCCCTCTGCAGAGACCTCAAGCCCTCCAAAAAACTTGGGTGGTGACAGGATCTGGAGGGCGGGGTTTGTTAGTCTGCCTTTCTAGACACGTTTCCCACCACCGGTAGGACCCCGGCCCAAACAGCCTGGGCGGGGAGGGGGGGGAGGGAAGGCGGGGGAGGGGTGCTGCAGGCCCAAATCCAAAAGTGAGGGCAAGGATCATAGGCCACAAGAAGAACTGTTATCTGTAGGACGATACCCATCACATCGCTGATGTGTGGGGCAGTCTACACCATCACCACTGCTCTCCAGCTATTTCTACCGTGCTTTCCCTCAACAGCTATCAGATCATGTTGGACTGCTGGCACAAAGACCCAAAAGAAAGGCCAAGATTTGCAGAACTTGTGGAAAAACTAGGCGATTTGCTCCAGGCAAATGTACAACAGGTAAAGCTAACCTAATCTAGAATATCAGAAGATATTCTGATACGCCTTTGAATGTAAGTCAAGGGGGGAGGTATTTTATTTGTTGTCTTAAGAGCTGTTAATAGCTGAGATCAGAAGCTAAAAAATAAATGTGTGTGCACGCAGAATTATCTTCCCCAAACACAAGAAAAATTGTGGACATGACATAGTGGAAGCTGGTATGTTGCACAGAAATAGGCTGAAATAGAAATCTGTACAATTAAAGCTCTGTCTTTGGTATTTTAGGATGGTAAAGACTATATCCCACTAAATGCCATACTGACAGGAAATAGCGGGTTTTCATACTCGTCTCGTGCCTTCTCTGATGACTTCTTCAAGGAAGATATTTCAGCGCCACAGTTTAATTCAGGAAGTTCTGATAATGTCAGGTAAGATTTCTTTCCTTCCTCAGCTTTACCTTATAAAATTTTCAGACAGAAAAAAAAGCTCACCTCCCAAATTCAAACACAGTTAACATTTTGCCCTATTTTGTCTCTGCGCATATACTCTGCATGTATGTGGTTCTTTTTGCCCAACTGTTTGAAAGAGAGCTTCGGGCGTTATAACGTTCTACCCTAAATCTTGTAAGATCTTTCTCCTGTTACATCAAAATTATCACACACAGAAAAAAAATGGTAGTTTTGTTTTTCAATGTTTATTTTTGAGAGAGAGACAGAGTATGAGCAGGGGAGGGGCAGAGAGAGAGGGAGACACAGAATCAGAAGCAGGCTCCAGGCTCTGAGCTGTCAGCACAGAGCCCAAAGTAGGGCTCGAACCCACGAACCATGAGATCAGACCTGAGCCGAAGTCAGACACTTAACCAATTGAGCTATCCAGGCGACCCTTGATAGTTTCTTAATATTATTAAATATTCAGGTTTCCATAAGTTCCCCAGATGTCTTTTATACCTTAAGAAAAAACAAAAAACAAATCAGCATCCAGTCAAGAACAGTACATTGCATTTTCTTTACTCTTATTAAAAAAAATTTTTTTTATGTTTATTTATTTTTGAAAGAGAGAGAGACAGAGTGAGAGCAGGTGAGGGGCAGAGAAAAAGGGAGACACAGACTCTGAAGCAGGCTCCAGGCTCTGAGCGGTCGGCACAGAGCCCGACGCAGGGCTTGAACCCACGAACCGTGAGATCATGACCTGAGCTGAAGTCGGACACTTAACCGACTGAGCCACCCAGGTGCCCCTCTTGACTCTTATTTAGAATAATCTTACATCTTTCCCCCCCCCAAGACTTTTTTTTTTTTTTTATGAGACCTTAGATAAAATAATTTGTTTTTCTTACTGGATACACTAACATACCATTCATTACTGTAGAGGAAAATTGGAGAAGGGACAAGGGAAAATGTATGGATTCAGTGTCTCCACTGGGTGCTGGGCGGGGGTCAGCTCTTCAGTACTAACGATTATACGTGTGTCAACACGTCATTACCAGTGGCTCTGTGTGTATCCCACATCAATGCCAACAGTCATATATGAATCAAACATCGCTACTAATGGTTACGTGTGTATCATACACATTCAGCACTGATGCTGTGCGTGGTCTGGGACTGTGCTGGGCTCTTTGTACAAAGCATCAATTCCTTTAATGCTCAAAACAATACTATACGGTAGATATTATTATTACCGTTACACAAATGGGGCCCTTAAGGCTCCATGGAAGATAGCGTGCCAAAACTGTGTGCCTAGAAAGTGGCGGAATAGAGTCTGTGACCCAGGTATTTTAACACTGCGTCCTTGTTTCCATGCAGTTAGGGCTATGTTTAGGATGTTTAAGACTATCCTGTGGGCCTTCTAGTGTCTTCATCTGCAGTAGGCACAACCCCAGAGCTTTGACCTCAGTTCAGCCAAGCTGGGCAGGTGACCAGGGGAGGCATAGCTAAGGGTTGGGCCAGTCTGAAAAGACTGACAGCCATCTGTGACAGGCCGAGAAGTCCAGTGACCAGCCCCGATTTGTGGTAATGGGTTACATGCCGGTGGCACTGCTCCTTCTCCGTGACCAGCCCAACAGGCTGCAACAAATGAATCACCCATTTCTTTTTAAAGACAAGAAAACTAGGTCAGACCGAACACATTCGCAGTAGCTGATTGTGTCAGAGATGAAGGAGGGAAGCTGTCAAAGTTGTTTGAGCCCTTTCAGGGGGTTGCTCAGCCTCCGACCAATGAAGCGCTCATCTAGAAATCGGGCCTTGCAGATGGTGACAGGGTTTCAGACTGAGAAACTCCGTCAGTAGGTGAACTTGCCCGAGGAAGAGCCAGATGGTGGAGATCTCTGCCAGCCTTCCTAGTGGGTCATCAACAAAAGGTCAGGAGGTAGTTATAGGGAAGACACACAGTTACAACCCATTTTTCCCAGTCTGTAATCAATCCCAGGACAGAATATACAAGACTAGCCATTAAATCAGCTGTGTGGCCTGGAGAGGTCATTTCATTGGTCTCCTCACATCCTTGGAGAAGTAGGCAGCTACACATTATCAAGTCACCCCCCTTTGCTGGGCATCATTTCTCTCCTCTGTAAGATACGGCGTTTAGACCACGAGATGACTCGGGTTTCTTCTGGGCCTGACATTTCCCCAGTTCCACCAGGGACTACAGGCCTAACCACTACTGAGTCTCTCCAGGGTCCCTATGGGATTTTGCTCAAAACTGTGCAGTGTGGATTGACAGCCGTAGGGGGGAAGTGGCCACCACTGTCAGGATTCCCAGGAGAACACAGCAGGAAAGTTCCAGTACTCTGGTTCATCTCAGCTGGGAGACAGTGCCCATAGTCCCCCGACGAATAAAAACTAGATGCATTTTCCTATGCTGATTATCCTTCTGCTTCTTCCTCAGATATGTAAATGCTTTCAATTTCTTGAGCTTGGAGAGAATCAAAACCTTTGAAGAACTTTCGCCAAATGCCACCTCGATCTTTGATGTAAGTGATGGGATTAGCCTACTTAGTGCACTATGGCAGGACCCTTTGCCAGACTCTTACCCAAACACAAGCTCCAGTAACCTGCTGGCTCCCAGTTCATAGGGGTCAGTAATGAGTGGCTCAGCCAACAATTTCAGGGGACAAGACTTAGCCAAACGGAGCTGATGTGAAAACAGGTAATTCTGTGGTTTGACAGTGACCTAGAATTCACTCCAGGGTCCAAGTCCTCACCTGGTCATAATTTAGTCCCTTGGGTCACAGTTTAGTCCATAACTCCATGGTGGGTTTCTAAGCTTCTTAGCTATCAATGATGGAACCCTGTCTTCAGATTAATGGAGGAATCCAAAGCCGTGAGTAGCTGGGTCTTCCTGATCTAACAGAAAGCTCTCTCATAAGAGTAGCCTACCTCGGCCTTACGTCCCTCCCACTAGGGTTCTAGAGGCTGAATAGCCATGTTCCCCCCCCAGCCACGATGGGAGAAGTAATCCGGAACAACCTGGCAAACCCAAGGCCCCACCCAGCTTGTACTTGGAAGCTCTGGGCCTTGAGGTTGAGAGAGTAAGGGGAGGCGAGGGAGAACCGGGCAAGGGTACACTTTGCTTCAAGACCCTTACACTCAAAGTGATCTCCAGGCCAGGTAAGCACGGTTGCCACTAAACGGGCTAGGAATGCGGAATCTCAGGACCCACCCACACTCCCAGAGTCAGACTTCGCACTGTCACAAAGTCCCCAGGGGACGGATGTGAACAGTGAAGTTTGAGAAGCAGGGGTGATGCCCACGTCCCATAAAGGGCCTGGAAGACCCGCCATGGTGTGAAGGTGATGGCCACAAACCCAGTGGCCTGGAGATTAAAAAGCACCAAAAGCTTCTCAAACGCACTAGATAAAGAGGAGAAAGTGATCAAAACATTTAAAAACATGACAAATAAGTCATACAAAAGTAGCTGGAAATTTTGTTTTTCTGCTTTGGTTTTAAGTGCTAGGAAACGACACTGAGCAAAACACGGAAGACTTCTCTCAACCTTAACCCCCCGCACCGGGATTCAGTGGGGACTGCAAGCTCCTTGGCTTGCTTAGGCTTGTCTACTGATGATCAAGGACACAAACACAACCCAAGGGAGACTCAAGGGTGGCAGGAACAAAGAGTCCACTCACTGGGAATGCTGTGTTAGCACAGTAAGGAACACCTGCCTAAAACCCGATGCTAAGGATGAACCAACGAGAAAATGGAATGTTGAAGGGTGCCTGGGGGCGCTCAGTTGGTTGAGCGCCGAACTTCGGCTCAGGTCATGATCTCACGGTTCGTGAGTTTGAGCCCCACGTCGGGCTCTCCGCTCTCAGCCTGTTTCGGATCCTCTGTCCCCTCTCTGGCTGTCCTTCCCCACCTTGTGCTCTCTCTCTCAAAAGCAAATAAAACATTAAAAAAGTCAATTAAAAAACATGGAATTGTGCTGGAAACCATGACAGCTGAGGGTCTGACAATTCCATAGGAGTCATAAGAAAAAAAACAGATTTTTAAACCATGTCTTCATAATTTCTTGGTTGTTGTTGTTCGTTTTTGTTTTGTTTTGTTTTTTTGTTGAGAGAGAGAGAGAGTGTGAGCAGGGGAGAGAGAGAAAGATCTCAAGCAGGCTCCAAGCTCAGTGCAAAGCCCAACATGGGGTGTGATCCCACAACCCTGGGATCATGACCTGAGCCCAAATCAAGAGTCAGATGCTTAACTGAGCCACCCAGACGCTCCAATTTCTCAGAATTTTTTGTGTGGTACACCTTTTGTGTGGCCACCAGAGAACAACATACCCATAGATGATAGTCATCTGCCAAAATTCGTTTTAGTGTATGTAGGCAATAATTTGTATAAAAGTTTACTATAAAAAATGCTCACCTGTTACTTGCAGTTTTCCCTTGTGTTTAAATGCATTTCCTTCCCCTTCGGGGAAGAAGGGCCTCCAAGTCACTGGGAATAACAGGCATTGCTTGCGACAAAATGTAGATTTGCCCCCTATGGAGAAAATGCTTTGTCTTAATAGGCAGGTGAGGACAGAGCTTGGGGTGACTTTGAGTGCGCAGCCAAGTGGTGTCCCCCCCCCCAACTCAGAGTGGCCCCCTCTGGGTGAGGCAAGAAGTGTAACCCTTTTTCCTCAACCCCCCCCCCCCCAACAGGATTACCAGATGGACAGTGGCTCTCTGCTGGCCTCCCCCTTGCTGAAGCGCTTCACCTGGGCTGAGAGCAAACCCAAGGCCTCACTGAAGATTGAGTAAGGAAATGGGGGGGGGGGGGGTCTTTTCTATGATCAATCGATGGAGGGGTGTGAAGGAAGATGCTGGGGAAAATGTAATGGGGACACTTGAGGGCTACTTGCCTCCCTGAACTACAGTGTCCAGGCATTGCAGAAAAGCACTATTTTCCCCCTCAGAAGGGCAAGAAGGAGGGTATAAAATCAGGGCCATGAGCACCAGAGCAGAGAAGGAAGCCTGGGATTTAAGAAGTGAAAACATGCAGAAAACTCCCAACAGAGACAGGCAGTCCAAACGCGTGAGGCACAGTGACTCAGTTGGAAGGAGCCTGACATGCCCACCTGTGAACAGTGCCTAAGTCAGATGGAGACGTGCTCGTGGGGGCGGGGAGGGGAGCTAGCCTACGATCACAGCCTCGGCTGGCAAAATCTGTACAGGAAGCGTCACAGCCCTGTTTTCCGGTAGTAAGACATGCCATCCCGAGACACCAACCCTTCCAAACGAAAGCTTGTTTCCTGTTGGATCCTGGCATTCCATCCCTACAGTGGCCGTCGGCAAGTACCGTTGGAATTACTTAGGCTCCGGCTTTTTATTCCACTGGCCCTGCTGTCACTTCAGCTTCTCTGTGCTCGTCTCTACCTGGGAAGAGCACCGGACAGGCAGACTATCCATCAGGGATTCCTTCCTTCCCGCGTTCAAATGCCTGCCCTGTCTACCCCAAAGTCAAGAACCTGACCGTCTTTTCTTCAGGAGCCACACACAAAACAGCTACTCAACCCTGCCACTGCAGTATAAGAGCAGCCATCAACAACGTATAAACAAGGAGATGTGGCTGTGTTCCAATCACCTGTATTTACAAAAACAGGTAGCCGTGGCCAATGAGCACAAGAAAAGATGCTTAAGGTCACGGGTCATCAGGAAAATGCAAATCAGCTTCACCCCCCACTAGGATGGGTAGAACCAAAAAGTTGGAGGTGGTGAAAGTCTTGTGCGTTGCTGGTGGGGATGTAAAACGGTCTGGCCACTTGGGGAAACGGTCTGGCCGTTCTTAATCAAAAAGGTTAATTAGAGTTACTCTGTGACTCAGCAGTTGCCCTCCTTAGGTACACACCCACCCAACAGAAGGAAAACTTAACGTTCACACAAAAACTTGTACACAAATGTTCGTAGCAGCATCGTTCATAATGACCCAAAGTAGAAGCAAGCCAAATGTCCTTCAGTTGCTGGATAAAATGCAGTAGACTCATACGATCGAGTATTATTTGCCAATAAAAAAGTACGCGGTACTGATACATGCTACAACGTGGACAAACCTTGAAAACGTTGTTAAGTGAACGAAGCCAGTCACCGCCGACCACATGCGGTAGGCTTCCATTTGCATGAAACGCCGGGCGCAGACAGATCTGTGGAAAGAAAGTAGACCAGTGGTTGTCTAGGGCTGGGGGGTGGGAAGTGTGGGAGAAGGGCAATTGGCTATACTAATGGGTATGGGTTTTGGGGGATGACAATGGCCTGAAATCAATTGTGTTGATGGTTGCACCATCTATGAATATACTAAAAACCATTCGGCTGGACCCTTTATTTTTTTTAATGTTTAATTTTGAGAGACAGAGACAGAGCGCAAGAGGGGAGGGGGAGAGAGAGGGAGACACAGAATTGGAAGCAGGCTCCAGGCTCTGAGCTGTCGGCACAGAGCCCGACACAGGGCTCGAACTCACGAACCATGAGATCTTGACCTGAGATGAAGTTAGATGCATAACCAACTGAGCAACCCAGGCGCCCCTCAGCTGGACACTTTAAACAGTGAACTGTATCTCAATAAAGCTGCTTAAAAACAAAACAAAGCATGCAGGTGACCAGCCCACAGGTTGTAGTTTGCTGATCTTGATCTAAGTCAAAAGATCGCTCCAAATGCCTCTCTGAATGATATAAATCCAAAGGGTGGGAACATGGCCAGGCAAACATCTGCATAGTTTCCTGTTAACATAAGCACAATGATGATCTCAGAGTGGAGTCCCCTCAGAGGGTAACAGATTAGGGGACCCTCACAAAGAATAAGTATACACAGGAGGAAAGGAAGCAGGATACCACAACCTTTTGTTTCCTACTTTGGAACACTTACCTAGATCTTTGTGAAGGAAAACTATTGCACCCTCCAGAGATTAAAAATATAGATAATGCATGTTGGGGAGCCTGGGTGGCTCAGTCGCTTCAGGATCCAACTCTGGGTTTCGGTTCAGGGCATGATCTCATGGTTTGTGAGTTCAAACCCTGAATCGGACAGCACGGAGCCTGCTTGGGCTTCTGTCTGTCTCTCTCAAAATAAAAAAAATTTTAAAAAGAAAATGCTGGACGTGTTAGTCCAGAACCAACCTAACTGTGGTGGCGCGTCAGGTTTCCTCATTCTCATCCCAGCTATTAAGAAACAAACGTGAGGGCTCCCGGGTGGCTCAGTGGGTTAAGCATCTGACTTTGGCTCAGGTCATGATCTTACGGTTCGTGAGTTTGAGTCCTGCTTGGATGAGCCCCTGCTCCTCTCTCTGCCCCCACCCTCTCTCCCCTGCAGGCTTACTTGCATCCTCTCTCAACAAACAAACACGAACGGACAAGAGAAGCTTTTCTTTCTTGTTTATCTATCTTATGCTGGGTGCAAAATACAGAACCAGAAGCAAATTTCTCCTTTGAGCCTTGCTAGTGACAGAGTCCCGTGACTTAAAAGCTTTCCAGAACACAAACATGATGGGGAGACAACCGCACTAACCTTTTTGTATGAAGCTCTATTCATTTCTTGATGCTGTTGTAACACGCGATCACAAACGTAGTGGCTTAAAGCGAGAGAAACGTACTCTCTTGTAGTTCTCGAGGCCAGAGGCCCCAAATCAAGGTACTGGCAGAGCCACGATCCCTCTGGAAGGCCGAGGGAGAATCCATTCTTCACTCTTCCCAGCTCCTGGTGTCTCTGGGCATTCCGTGGCTCGTGGCCACGTGTCTCTGCTCCACCTTCAACCCCCCCCCCCCCCCCCGCCTTCTGCGTGTGGCTGTGCATCTCCATCATCCTCTCTTACAAGGACACACGTGGTTGTGCTCAGGGTCCGCCTGGATAATGCAGGCTAAGTTCCTCTTCCGCAGATCCTCAGCTCCACCACCTCTCTCACCCTGGAAGAGAATATTCAGTCCTTTGCCATCTCCAGTGCCATTCACAGGTTCCAGGGATTCTGGGGGCGGGAGCATTTTTCAGCCCACGATGGTGGCTGACTGGTCCAAGGACAGGGGAGGGCCACGTGTGTCCTGGAGGGATTTTCCACCCGAGATGACGGATTTGCGGCATCTGGTCACACGGTCTGCCGCCCCCCGGCCAGTGGAAGACGTCATTCTGCCGAGTGCCACCGAGCTGGGAGTAGAGGGGCAGCGTGCAGCTTTAGGACAGAGGGCATCTGCCCGGAGGTGGGGATGGGGCTCAATAACCGCCAGCTGTAGAACAGCCATGAGCAAATGACCCGGCGGGAGAGAGCGGACAGACATCAGTGTTTGTTTCCAAGAAATCAATTTTGTGCATTTGTTTTCTTTTCTTTCCTTTCTTTAGCTTGAGAGTAACCAGTAAAAGTAAGGAGTCGGGGCTTTCTGACCTCACGCGGCCTACTGTCTGCCATCCCAGGTGTGGCTACACCAGCAAAGGCAGGCGCAGGTTCACATACGACAACTCCGAGCTGGAGAAGAAGATTTCGTCCTGTTCTCCTCCTCCAGACTACAACTCGGTGGTCCTATATTCCACCCCGCCTGTCTAAAAGTTCGACACGTAGCCTTATTTCTAGAACCACACGAGTATTTATACCCCCTGAAAACTAGCTTTTGCCAGTAGGACACATACATACATGTACACCTTTACCTTTCCACAGGAGCAAGCTGCCTTTTGTGATTTTTTTTAATAAGTGCTTCTTTTTCTTTTTGACTAACAAGAATGTAACCCCAGATAGAGTAATAGTGATAAGTAAAGAACACCACTGGTAAAGCCTCACGTTAATTCAGTGTGTTAGAGAGACCCTGACTTCCAAGCCCAATGACTTACCTGCTCCTGCCCCCGAGACCGCAGGGCGTTCAGTGATTCAGGAGATGCACCGATCATGCGAGGCAGCATGGACTCCACGGGGCCAGCCACCAGCAGCCTGGAACCGGGAGGCAAGGAGCCGTAAGCCGGCCCGCGCAGTGTCTCTGGGGTCCTCTAGCAGATGCAACTTCCGGGGAAGGAGGAGGAGAAGGGAGAAAGGAAGAAGCGAGCAAGGAGGACAAAAGCACTGGAGAGAATTGGCGCCACCCTGTATGGGGAGGGAGTAGGTGAGGGCTGTCCCCCATGACACTGCAATGGCTTCCGGACCCGCACCAAACCCGGTCCACACTGAGAACCCACCTTGGGGAGCAGACAGGACAGAGACACGAGGGGACATTTTCTGGATTCCAGCAGGCAAGTAAAGGACAAGCAATTTTTTTCTTTTTGGCAACTACAAATTTTAAAACGTTAGCTGTGGGACTGGATCTATGCCCATTCCCACATACGGCACATTTTAAAATTTCTAGCAACGGAGCGTGGTGCTCAGATCTGAGCCTGGACTGCAGGCCCCTCTAGTAATATACACTGAAAACTCACCCTGAGCTCGGCTGGCTCCACGGGCACCATGGCCTTGCACTTAGATTGCTCAGAGTAAGCTCACTGGAACGGGTTTGGTCTGTTAGGGTTACCTGTGGGGCTTTAAGCCACATTTTAAAAGTTGTCAGATTCTATTTTGAGTATTAATATATAATCAAGACACTTTTTTTTTTTTTTTTACACTAACCTGTTTTGTCCAGTTAGTTATAAACGGAAGCTGAGGAGGATGAAAACAAAGAGTCCTGCGGAGGGTTTCCTCTGTACCAAAACCAGGATAGGTGGAACGAAAGCGGGATGAGCACAGTAAAAACCCCATCTCTTTACCACCCAAACCAACTCGCGGGAACAGTTGGGGCCCAAAGGAGAGGAAGCCAATCATGTTTCCTTTTTCATGGGGATTCTACAACCTCATGCTGGTCTACTGGAAAGATGTGGAAGAGTATTAACCAATGTTTATTAAGCACTTTATGCTCCTGGAGAAAAAAGGTGATATGTAATTTATGCAAGATACTTTTAGAATTGGGACTCAGGATATTAGTTATTGAGCCATCAATAGGAGAAAAGCCTCTCTTCATCTGCTTTGGCCCTTGCCTTGGGTCTGAGAATGATGGAAATAGGGAGACAGGGTACAAAAGGGTGCCTACTCTTCAGGGTTTAAAGACCCTGGAACTCTCAGCAGGCTCTGATGCTGTGTATTTAGGACGTATGTACCTTCTAAAGCCAGTCAAAGCTGGACAGGTTAACAGTGAATTGCTGCTTCTGGTAGAGACGAGTGTGCTTCCCTTTACGGCAAGTAACTTAACTCTAGAACCTGAAATATAATAGGAGAATCTTTACTTCCTTCCCTGTGTGTCACATTCCTGTGTCAAGGTTCTTAGTCTAAAGAGACAGGACAGTCAGCACACCCCAAAAGGAAGGAAGCAGGTGCTCCAGTGGGGATTCTGCTGGAGAAGCGTCTGGCCAGCAGAGAAGTGAGGCAGGCCTCTCCACCAGGACCCCAGTCCAGACAAAATCAGGCCAGGGCCAGAAGAGGGGAAAAGCTTTTTTCTTCCTCGTCTTCATGTGCACAAAAAGCACCTGTGACAGTCGGTGATAGTATCAATCAGGTAACCAGAAGGAGGTTCAACAGGGAAAAGAAAAGAAGACCTCAATCAGCTTTGCCGATTTTTCATATCCGATAAGGATCCAGCAATGAGTGAAAACAAAAACCTTAACTATACGTACAGTATCTTAATTTTGATAACCTAATTAATTCTTAATTGTTCAAAGACCCTAGTAATATCATCTTTCCAAAAGAAAAAAAAATCTTCAGAATTTATGTTAATTCAGCTGCTTCACAGACTCAGGTTTAGAGCCTGCGTGAGTCCATTGGTCAAGATGGTTCCGTCTAGAGTGTTAACACAGAAAGGAAAACGGAAGCTCGCAGTCATGAGTCCACCCAGTTGCAACGTGCTTGCCACAGACTGGTTCTTTAACCAGCACTGGACGTTAAACACTAAAAACTGAAACACTCATTAAACCATGGTATTATTAGAACCATTTGGCATTTATGGCAAACATAGTTGGCACAATCCTTTCAGGATTTGTGAGAGCATGTATGTGTCACAGTGTGTGTGTAACCAGTGTGGGTGGAACGGGACTGAAACCATATGGAAGTCTGTATCTAGTTAAGTCTAAGAAGCGATGCTCAGACCTTGGTTTTAGCTTGTGAAACAAATTTGTCCAAACCCTGAAAAAAATGTTATGTAGGTCTTCTAGCTGTGCCTGGTTTCCCAGCCCGTAAAGAATGTCAAACACGAACAGACACTTGCCAGTCCCTTTTCATTGCAAAAGGAGCGCAACTTGGACTGACAGTGGTAGTAACTGTATGTGTATATACGTGTGTGTGTGTTGTGCGTGACTATTTAAGGAAACTGGAATTTTAAAGTTACTTTTATACAAACAAGAATATATGCTGCAGATATAAGTAAGACTTAATTTGGTCCTACATCTCTAGT